TTCACATGCCAAACCATAGATCGTCTTCGCCGTTTCTAATTAGCTTTCTTGTATTTATTCTTTCGGTGAAAAATGTCATCTGCGTATGACTGATTTGGCAATCTTTTGAGAGCTTTATAGGGATATTGACCAAGCTGAGGCTGTGGATACTTCGCCATCAAATAGTTAATCTGATCTTTTGTGAGTGGCGTCTTATCATCTGCATTACTATCAAGAAGACCCTAAATAATTATGTGCTGAGGATAGAGACTACAAACAATTTAATAATGTTCATTAGTAAAGCCAAAAAAAAAAAACAAAGTTATAACTAGAAGGAGTATACAGAATGCAAGTAAACCTTTTTTGCAGATGCAAAAATTTCCTTATTGGTTTGACGAGTTCTGTCCACACAACTAATATAAGCTCGATTAAAATCTTCGCAAGGTAAATTGTCATATTCCCACTTTTTCAAACATTCAAAAAGAGCTTGCAGCTCTTTTGTACATGTCTCACCTGTCAATATTGAGGTATTTGTAATAACAAAAAGCACACATGTTCACATTTATTTATTCATTTACGCATAATTATTTTCAAGACAGATACTTCTAGATTTTCGAAAAACAAAAAGAAATCATAGACAACTACATGCCATATTTCTTAAAAACCGGTTTAATTCAGTAACAAAGCAACAAAATTTAAAGGAAAAAGTTGTTTAGCTCAACAGGTTTTTGAATCAAAAATGTATAACGTGAAAAATCTAAGAACTTAATCCTGTAACAATTAATATATGGTGAGCAGTAACATTATAATATTTTTTTTTCGTGCGTAGAGAAAAGGAATATTATATAACTGTGCAAACAAAAATGATATATAATATAACCTCGTGGTTTCGTGAAATTATTCATAATAAAATTTGTAGATTTCAACGGAAGAAATTCCTTAAACTGTATTCGATCATTTCTAGCCAAATTTCTTTTTGTAGGAAATCTTGCGCAACTTTTAGAAAGCGATGGTGTAAACTGCATTGTTTGATGATGACGGCAAAATTCAGCCAAGATTATGGCATGTATCCTAAAATTGTTAAAAAAATTTATTCAAAATGTATGACAAGTAAGCATTGAAACTGCTTCGAAAAAATACTATATAGATACTGAAACTTAAAAAAAATACTACGCTTAATCAATCTTCTGGAGACAAGAATTATATAATTGTCAAAAGTACTTATACATTATTTTAGCAATGAAATATATAATACAAGTTTTATTAACTTGTTTCAGTATGGCTCTCTAATTGTAGCACAAAGTGATTCAGTAACATATGGTTTGTTTGACAAAATATGGCAAGATTTACTAGTCAGTCAGATGCTCTAATCAAATTTTGGCAGAGGTTGAGAGGCCGTAGTTTGTAGTAGTAGTTTCTAGTCTGTCGTTAATAGAGGAAGCTATATTTTCAACTTGACGATAAGTTAATCGAAGAATAGGTGGTAAAGAAAAAAGAAATACATTATTTCATGTCAATGAAAGTACAAATCTATTATTCGTATAACCCTTACTGTATATGCATTACGTTTCAGTCCCATGTAAAGTATAAAGCATATAATTATGGAATATTTTGCAGATGGCAAGACAACGTCGTGGAGCTGCAGGTGCTAATGAGCTGCGAACTCATCTATTTTTTACAAGTCAACTTGAACGTCATCCCTCGAGGCGTAAGCGGCGAAAACGCAGTAAGTTTGTCAGTGTATGGACAAGGAGTTAGTGCTTTATGTATATAATTAATCATCAACTAATGATAATAATAGAAGTAACTACTGGTACACAGGTAAAAGTTTTAACTTTTTCAATGCACATTCATGGTTTTCAGCCATATTATATAGGAAATACATGTATTAAATGCATGTCTTTTCTTTTTTAGTTTTAGCTTCAAAGACCTTGTAGTTAAAGTTAAATCTTTTTATTCTGTACTAGTAATTATTTATGTATTGCAGACAAACTGCATCAGTTAATGCATCGTAAAGATGAAATGGTGCAAACAGGACCTCCTGAATTAGAGCCATCCCTTTGGTCTGGCAATCAGCGAGTGCTTCATTTTGGACCTATGGCTCAACGTGATCCATTCTTCTATTATTATCCGAAAGGATGGGATGTACTCTATCCAGCGCATTTCGGTTTTTTTCCGTATCGTGCAACGTATGGTCATTGTTCTTGTATGAAAGTTTGATCAGTTTCTAAAATATTGTTTGACTTTTTAACTATCATGTTAAATCACCCTTTATCTTTGTCATGCATATTTATCCTAATTAGCAAATTCATGAGAAGTTAGCCTTGAATCAAATTAGAAAAATTTTAAGTTCTCTTTTTTTCGTAATTTACATTGCCATGATATAATTATTTTAGCCTATTTGTTAACAAAAAGCAGTGTGATGCGGAACTAATTTTACTAACTGGTGATTTTAGATAACACTATCTAATATTATTGGTCTTGTTATTGAGATTAATATTATCATTGAAATCTGTTTATTAGATTTTCAGATGTCGGACGGCGTCTATGAAATTTATCATCGCATGTGATTGCTGTGATTTGTACATGACAGATTATAGTGTGATTAAACGTCAGTTTTATTCTTAATTTTGCAGCAGCATGACCTCGTGATTTCCTGTTTTCATTTTATTTTTCTGCAGAAATAATCATCAGCCCAATTACTTTATGGTCGCTTACAGGAAATTTCGAGGCTCGTCATCAGCTATTTGCATAAGTGCGTTTGGTATTTTTTTGTCATTAGGAGGCACTATGATGTTATTCTTAGCTCATTTTTCAATGAACGATTCTCCACTATATTACTTGGAGAATTATTATGAAAAACCGATACAATTCGCTGGTTCAGCATTTCTCGTTTGTGGTATTCTACTCGTATTTGCGTCAGCCATTTGCGCTTTGCCATCAATAAAGGTTTGTATATGGATAAATTTGTGTTTATATCCAAACGTTGTAATCGTAATGATATATAAGGAAGACGTTGCTTTTGAAGCTTTTACTCGTATTGATTACTTAATTGTCTAGATCCTTAGTGATGTTAATCCAGAACACATTCGACCTCGTGTAACAATTTTGAGGCAGTATATAAAGGTACTTTTTTGTCATCAAAAAGTATTCAATTACCAATCATTATAAGTCGAATTTAGGACAAGAATATACAAAAATTAACCAGATGTTTTGAAATTTTCTGGTATTATGGTAATGGCTACCATATCTTCATGTTTATTTATCCCATTTCCCCATGTTTATAATCTTTCATTTCAAGAGCGAATTTTGATTTGTGTTTAGCAAACATTGTTGGTTACAGGAACCCATCGGTAATTATGAAAAATCTCCTTTCCAATCAATGCCTCCTCCTGCATACCCAGTGTTGGAAAATAAATACACGAATATGGCATTGTTTAACTCACAATCAGAGTTAAAGCTATATCCACCAGTGTTGGTTACTTAGTTTTCGCATTAATTATTGCAGATATTGTCAATATGACTATTTCATTGCAGGATCATTTCTCATCAATAAATGAAAAGTTCTTGTTATCAATATCATAGAACCTTACTCGTTAATTCCAAATTCAAAAAATATCTATCGAATTTTTTCATACCATCTTGAGGTTTTCTTCGTGTTTTAATTGTTTTTCTGTTCGCGAATAACTTGAGTCAGTTTGTGGGCTTAAAATTAGTCATCTAAAAGTGATTTTTAGTAATGAATATAATGGATCGATATTGGTTTCAAACCTTTTTGAAGACTCATAAAAAATTTTAATGATCGTAAAACACTTATTGGTTGGTTATTCCGAAGTTCTTTATCAATATTTTTACTTCCTCTAATGTTGTATTTAAACATAAACATTTGCAGAATGCCTGGTTGTTCGACTCTTTCGTTGCATGATCGCTCATCAAGTTCTTATTTCGCCAACCCATACAACACTTTACGGGCCGTTTCTGCAACTGCGTAAACTTTACCTCTTTATTTAAAAATTCCAGAGGCAAATTTGAAATTGCCGTCGTCTGCAAGAATAAAAAATCTTTTATAGACAAACAGACGTGGTGAAAGAGAATCCACGAGCCGGCTCATTAACAGGTTTACGAAGACTTTCAAACGATTCATTGCAACGTACTCGTCGGGCTAAAAGCGTCGCAGCTTCTTTAACAAGGACTGATCGAAATCGACGTACTTGACAGAGTTTGCAATTATCTGTGCATCGATTAAAATTTTTTCACCATTACCTGTACTTACCCAGTTTTGTCGCGATTACGTTTTGTACCTATTTTTGTAATATGTTCTGAGTTTTTCATTACATAAGAAACTGTAATGAGCTGTTGGCATTATGGATTTGGATATTATTTATTTATAGGTGTTAAAAGGTAAAATTACAAGTAGTACAACTATACAGCAGCTGTCGTTGTCGAATTTCTATTATATTTCGTTTACTTGATACATATGTCAATTTTTTGCTCGATATAGTGTTCTAAATAATTAATTAAGAGCCAGTTTATATAGATGTGTTTTCATCATAAACATTGTTATATCTTCTTGTTTTTAATAGATTTATCTTAAGTTTTTTCATTAGTTATGTTTTTTGTTTCTTCCATCCTGAAACTCATTTTATTTAGAGTTATTGATAAAACGTATTTGAGTTAAAAAGGTGTGAAGTTCTTAGCTAATTCGTTCAGTGCGCTAGGTCACACATAGAGCAGTCTGTTTAAGCATTATATGATGTATGATTTCTAGTCTTGGAAGAAGTCAGCAATATGACAGAAAAATCTATGTCAGGATATTTACATTTGTAGATCGATACATTATGTTTATTTTACTGATTTGAAGCGGAGTTCCACATTTTTGTGCTGGAATTAGGGCTCTCATCCTTCAGTGGAGTTTCAGGCTGATTTATATGAATAAACAATTTAAGAAACAGTCCTTTTAACTGAAGCAAAGGGGAGATTTTCAGATTGGAAGTGTATTTTCGTGATTAACAATTCATTCATTGCGTTGTGAATTTTTGAATGATATACTATGGCACTTTTACAGGTGCACGTATTCATTTTCCATTCCTCATGTTGGGATTATACTATATGACATTGTTGAGTTTAACATCATTTTGTGCTAAGATAGAATTTTGATTGACATGCAAATTGCAATAGATGCTCCATCGTTTCGTTATTTCACATCGGATGTTATGTATCGAGTACTATAGTAATTTTGTGTTCAAAAAATCTTATATAATAGTTTTAGATAGATATGAAATTCGAAAATTACGGTAAATCAATGTTATCACTTTGTCGTAATACATTTATTTTGTATGTCAATTGAGAAGAATCCGTAGGATTAAATAATTATGTGGATTGATTTATTTCAGATTTTTTCATAGCAGCTAGAAGAGGATTTGGGCAAATAGTTGAATACGACTTAAGACGTAAAAAGCATCAATTTAGCCATTCTTTAAGCTGCCGTTTGCCAGTGATGGTGAGAGATGTTCCATCGTTCCGTTATTTCACGTCGGATGTAATGTATCGAGTATTATTATGATTTGTTTTATTGCAAAATATGTGAGGAAGTGTATTACCTGGTTTTTCAGTTTTTGGAAACAAACAAGATTAACTAATGATTTTAGTAATAAAAAGCACTGGTCGAATTTCTTCATCGACTCAAAGAACTAGGCAATTTTGATGGTTTACTACAGAAACTGTAGAATTCGCAGTAGCGTGTGATCCACTATTATTTTAATGGTAATTAATCTCGTATTCTCCTTTATTTTTGT